AATTTGAAAAATTAGGAGAAATGGGAAAAATTGTTGCGAGAAGATTCAATATTTTAATGAATGCGTTAAGTAATTTCACATTGATTTTTAGAGCAAAGATTGTTGAATATTTTGATGTGAAGAAGTTTAATATTCTAATAGGCACATTAGTAATTTTATATTAGAAAATTAATTAAGCGCAAAGCTTGTCGGTCAAATAAATTTTATTTCATAATCTAAATTGGGTGTAAGTAAGTAACTATATGTTATACAAATATACTATAACATAATAATCATTAAAATATCTTAAAAATTTTGGAATATAAAGTGAAAAACAAAAATAAGTCTCTCAGTATAGACAGTATAGACTTTTTCATGTCATTGTATAAATATTTCCAAATATTTACAAACATATTATCTTCTATTCAAATTGTTCAAATTGTTCTATAAAATTATATCCTATAATAATTTCAGTAAAAAATGTGACATAGTTTATACATCGATTGCCTTCTACGAAGAAGTAAAATCAATAATAACTTTAAACTTATATAAGCTCATAGACACGAACTTGGAAAAAGAAATTATCGGCAGAACTTTCTTTATGATTAATAAGGGCAAAGAAAATTTATATCTTTTTATTGGATTATACAATTATGCAATAAATTCTTATTTACTTTTCTTTGTAGCTACGTTATTTAGATTCAAGTCTACAATTTACATAGATTACGATTAAATCGTTGGCGTAATAATTCTGAATTACGTAGTTCTTTGGTACGATAATTACATGTCTAAATATATTTCTAAATGAAACATGCACTTATGAATATTAACATCATTTACAAAAGATTTCATTACGCTGATTCAATTGAATTTTCAGTGCCTCTGCCTTGTAATTTATTGAACGCATCTAGCCATTAATAGAAATACACTCGAAGAACATTTTAGAACATTTTTTTACTTTTAACATTTAGTATTTAGTTTGTTGTAAATCACAAAACTTTCAAACTGCGTGTGTTTCATAACACAATCATTAATACATTAGCATTTTTACAGATTCTTATGAAGTTTGATGTCTTTTGGTTTCGGAACAAATGTAGTATTTGTAGTATTTGTCCCAAGATTTTCTGAACAGAGATGCAAATTGAATCACACACGTTATTTTATATTGCCTTTACGAGTAATTTTATAATATCATGTAAATCCTAGAATTTTTTTTTACCACGACCTTAATTACAGAATTTTTATTACGACCTTCTTATCATTGCGCGTCCTCTTTCGCGACGTTCCTGTTCTTCTGTACTACTTTCTACCTACTGTCCCAAGCTCAAAAAGAAAGAAACGTTGGTCCTTATCGTCGTCTCGGAGCACCACAAGCACAGAACACTCGAGAAACGCGCGACGAAAAGATTCTCGTTCACCGAGAGAGCTAAAACGAATTACAAGACTATCACGAAGCATCGAACAGGCAATAAAAACGAGCCATTCACGTGCAATATGCTTTACATTGAAAAACCTCTTTCATTGTGTCACGTAAAAATATGTTGATACAATATTCGTTTATTAACACTGAGCGAAGAGTGAATTTTGAAATCGAAACACAAGAGTTTTGAATCACAAGAATATTTATAACAAGCTAGAAATAAGTCAAGTCACATTTATTGGATGGTATCATTGCCAAATAAAAAGACACTTCAATAAATTCGATTAGTTGCTTATGCGATTTTCATTTGTATCGAGCATCAATACAACAAATGAAAATTAAGATCAATTGAAAATATGGAAAGAGATGTATTTCTACAACGATAAGAACCAGTGCTTCTTTCTTTCTGAATCTGAAACAGTGGTACAGAGCTACAAAGACAGAAAGTAAAAAATTGACGAGACGATCGTAATAAAAATCTGCTTCCTTGCAACAAGGAAGTCTTCTTTACAAAACAGCAGCCGTGATGGTAATAACAAAATAATTCGGTAATCACGAAATTTAATTCCTCGTTGAAGTTGTTAATTATTTCAAAATGGTAAGATTTACAACCAAAGCTTTAAACGATAGAAAGTTCGAAATGTTTTGACGCCGAAAGAGTAAAAATTATACATAGATGCGTGTCGTCGAATTCTTTTACGTTCGATCCGTAGATGTTGGAGCATCCTCCGGAATGGGAGCAATAAAAGTGAATTATTCTCCTGCTGCGTGGGCGGTACTTGCGTTACATACAGACACGCGTGTATTTGCACACGCATGACTGGTTTCGCGTGCGTGCGATACACGTTCGGATCTGTACATACGTGCTGTAGACTATGCACAATGATATTTTTAGTCGACGTGACCGCCATGATGAGAGGATTTCTCGGGTAGAGCCGGGACCCATAATATGCGTATCACGCTCCTTTGTGCACCGGTTAGGTTCGTGTAACGTTTCGGCATGTATGTATCTTTTCTTTTTCTTTTTTTTTTTTTTTTTTTGTCGAAAGCCACCGTTGTATCTGGGCCGCGTTTTATTATCGACCGGATACTGGCGGAGGTTCCACGGTTCTTTCCGCGGAAAGGCCGGAAAGGAAAACCGATAGGAAACGTGTGTTACGTTCACAGAGTATTTTTGGAGGCTAATGAAATTTCTGCGAGTGATTCTTTTTTTGCAGAATACAAATGAAAAATAATTTTCACACGAACGATATTTTGGGGAACGATGACATTCGTCTGATTTATAAGATCGTTCAATTTCAAGATTTATAAGGTATTCGAAATTTTATTAACTGAATGAAGAAATTTGATCTTCGAATTTTTCTGTTCTTGGAGCTTTTTATTCTCGTTCGAACATTCGATTCGAGAGATTATTGTATAATTTAGTGCGAAAACCAAGGAGTGTCTTGGAACTTTTTTTAGATTTTTCGAAAGGTTGAAACAGTAAAAGAGATTTCGCTTGATCGAACGATTCAAAAATTATGTATGATTTTCTTTTACATAAAAATTACGCATGACTTTACAAGTTTATTTCTAAAACTTAGTTAGTATGACTCGCGCGACGTATCAAATAGCAAAAATATTAACAAATCTGCTTCGAAAGTAACTTTACACTCTGCTGCAGTATATCAAAATCACGGAACAATATTTTACAATTACCGAGATCAAGAAATAAGTTTTATTTACGTGTAAATTACGTAGTTTAAAATTTATAAGCACGATACATTACTTATATATTAATGTATCAAGATTAAAGAAGAAATTCAATACAAGCAATTCGTGTTTAATATTTTGAACGAAGCTCGAAGCTTTAAGCGACTCGTGAGTCACGATACACTCGTTTAACTATATATATATATATCAATCTTAATATCAAAATAAATACCGTTAATCGAACAAAATATCTTGGCGCTTAAATTATTCAATAATGCAACGATTAGCGTTTGCGGTTTTATTCTTAACATTTGCACAATGTTGTAAGCGAAGAACCATTAAACGGTATAATGATTTAGCACGAGAATCATCCAGAGATATCTTTCCGCGGCCTCGCGTGCGTTGGATAATGCATTACGTAAACGTTTTCGTTCTTAATATTCTAGCATGATAGTGTGGCTTGAATATAATGAGTAGTGACACTAAGTTGGCATTCGTTGTCTCGTCACATCGAACTGCAACCAAGTCTCTCGACAAATTCAATTTATAACCACGTTCGACGAATTTTTTTTCTTTTTTTCTTTTAGACCTACAGCTGAAGAATGTTAATCCACTTATAATCGGTATTGAGCATACGGTCGTAGAAAGCCATCGTGAAAAGTCTACAAAGCCAGCCTGAATTACAAAATTGCGTATACAGTGGCTTGCGAAAATGTTCGAATAATTATAGAAATAACTATATGAATATATTATGCGTGTCATACGAGATATTTTGAAATTTTATTAACATTGTAACATATGAGTAAACTGCGAATTTTTATGGAAATTTCATATACATATGGAGTCGCAGTAACGATTTGTTTTGTTTATTAAATATTGTAATAAGTATGTTACTTTGGATATTTCGTATAATTGTACACATATTAATGAAACTCGATATTTGGAAATGGATATTTTCAATTTGCAGCGAAATTTGTTTTCGTTTACTATGTACGTAGCGCAGGCAATTCATTGTGTACGATGAACGTGTTAACCGATGTAATCTGAATGTCTCTAAATAAAATCGAATTCCATTGCAGCCACGTGCGCTGAATTACAATGAGAACGTAACGATGCTTTGTTTAACTGGATGTAACAACTGGACGCGATTTTAAAAATGAATCGTCGAAGAAATGAATGAATCCCTTTCGAAGCTCTTTAAACTTTCTATCAGTATATCTTCTATCATTATTATTCTCTAACTTTTGTCAAAAGGAACGCTGAAATTGAGAAATTCCTTCGGCAGACAATCTCGATATCTTTTCCACAAAGATCGCAAATACTCGGTAATAAGAGAAAAAGAAAGAGAAACGCTCCACAGGTCACCAGAACTCATCAATCCGATAAATCTCGGAATTTTTAGAGAACAGCGTATTATACAAAGGAATTCTATCTTTCTAGGAGACAAGCTGGATGCCAAGGGTGTAAGTCAGAAGAATTTAAACAGACGGTTAATCCGTATAAAGTGAAATAAAGGACTTAAAGGGACGAGAATGTTATTCCCTCTACACGATGGTGGCAAAATCCTTGGAATTTACTCGGTTTATTCGCGCTACGCAAAGGTCGAGGACGACGAGGACCAGAGGGATCACAACAGATGTAAACACACACACACACACACACACACCGAGGTAAAGGACGCGACGAAGAATTTTTTTCTTCTTCCCCGAGACGAAGATTCGCAGAGGTATACACGTGAAATTGGCACGGCAGCGTGGCACAGAATCAGTCGGTTTCGTGCACGTCGTGAGGGCGCGTGCGTGCCCGTCTGCTCGTTCCCTGTCCCTTTCTCTCTCTACCCTCTTTCAGTTTTCACCCCATCGTGACTCTTGTGCGTGATCCTAGCGCGACCTGTACATCTAATACGCTCTCTGTACGCGGTGCGTGTGTGTCGTGATCTGTGTAACACCGTGTCGTGATATCTCTCTCTCTCTCTCTCTCTTTCTCTTTCGAGTCGTGGCTGTGGAGCGAACGGACTGTGTTTTCGGAAAGGAAACTCACCACGTTGGATACGTGCCGCCAGGCTTCGAGGTTCGTGCACATAATACCCCAGTGAAGGAGCAGATAGATGACGAGGAGCATGGTCGTGAAGAGGAGCAGCGTGACCACCTTGTAGTGGTACATGAAACCGGGCAGTCGTCGGACGTTCATGATCTTGGGGATCGCTTGCGTCTCGGGTGAGTCCAAGAAATATCGATCAACTTTCCTTTATATATTTCAACCTTGCTTTTGTCTTCTCAATTGCTCGGAGGAGAATATCCCGAATATTCCAATGTCGGTTGTTCTCTGGTCCAGTTCGACGCGTGTGTCCCTCTCTTCTTTCAGTAACTGTTGTCCCGTCGACGGCGTCCTCGACGGCGCATCGTGAGGACGTCTCGCGTCTAGCCTGCTCGCGAACGCAGGCTCATTCGCTTCACTATTTTTCTCCGAGCCTCGTCCCGACGACGCGATCGTCGCCCGACCGGTGCCGTACGCTTGTGGCAATGCGGCATAATCTGCGGCACATGCGAGCGTCGCGACGCCGCGCCTCTCGCGGCGGATCTCCCCACACCGTTTGTTGCGCAGGCTCGTATATGCATTTAGACCACACAGCTAGTCCACAGGGGAAACAAATTCGAATTTCGCTCGATCGCCAACTCGATACCCCTTCGTAACCCGCCCGGGTGATTTAATATTTCGAGATGGGGAGAGCGGTTAGGGAGAGACGTTAGAACGGTTGGCACGCTATTTTCGAACCGTATTTCGAACCGTCCTGACACTTATTTCTCTTTTCTTAAATCGCTCGAGATTGCTGGATTTAACTCGAGATTTGCGTGTTCAGTCGTATAAATATACGTATATTTAGGTTTCACTCGGCGTGGAAAAAGCTTGGTTATTTTGATCCAAGAGTTATTTCCTCGTATCGATTGTTTGGGTAGACGAACTTATTCAAATTTCGCTTCATATATATGACCGTATGATATAACCGGTTCGATACAACACCGGTTTTCCCTTTCATGTTATTCGGTGGATCGTCAACTGTAGTGTTCAACGCTAGTATCAAACATTAAAAGTAAATTAAAAGTTGTTGACTAACTTGATATAACATTAACGTTGTTACTTTCACGGTTTGTGTCGCGGTTCAGAGCAATGTTGTCACTGACAGAATTTATCTCCTCTGCTATCCTCTTTCGTTACACTCGCGTGATGTATTTGCA